GAAACAATGGTAAGCGTGGGATGCACGCACGTTCAATCTTAAGTCAGTTATTTATATGATTTTCGTCAAATGTTTCCATTTTAATCAGCCTCATTTTAAAGGAAATTAAGGATAATTTAACTCACTATAATGTTCTGTATTTTTTTTATAAAAATATATTGAATATGAATATGCAAAACAAACTATTTTTACGTATTATCATGTATGTTAGTCATTTATTAGCAAACATAATTTATATGATCATATATTAATTTAATGCTTTCGTGAAATTTTATTTATTTTTAATATAAATACATATTTATGGCGAAAATCATAATAAAATCATATATCAATGAGTAAAATGTAATAAATGTACATAAAGAAAAACTTTGTATTTAATGATTTTTTTTATTATCTTCCAGTATATCATGCTCAAGAATATTAAAACATTACGATTCTTTCACTTTCCATAAATATTGCCGAATATAAAAAAAAAAGAAAAGAAAAAAACGAAAAGAAAATTCGTAAATATTAATACAAATATATAATAGTTTTTTTACTATTTTAGAATTTTATTTAATAATAATATTAATTTAATGATAATAAATTTATATAATAATAATAAATTTAATAATAATTTACTATTTTACTATTTTTTAATTTATTTAACATTTTATGTAAATCGATAAAGGCATGGAATAAAGACAATTTGCGCGACGAAAAGTATTGCCGATACAGAAAATATTTATTGGAGCATAATTGGTAGGTATGTCGTATTCCATATTCGTGCAAGTTCATTGCTAAACGAGACAATTGATAAACAATACACAATACAAATATTCTTATATATATAAGGACTCTTTCTCAAGTAATGTGATTAACATCAGATCAATAAGTTTTTATTTTTTGAATGACCATTAAAACTTGCATCTTCACATATGAATAAAGTCAAGATAAAATATATTATTATATTAATTCAAATTTGTTAAATAACAATATTAAATATGAGAAAGTGATAAGTAATTAATTTAATATTTGTTGATATAAATTTCAATGCCCAATCGATTGCACGTAAATATTAAAAAAATTTCTTCAATAAAATTCTTTACTAATTTCACTAACACTAATCTCTTCCACTGCTCAGATAAATTGTTACAACACTATCGTATAACTGCGCCATCTGTTGGCCGAATATTCTGTCGTGTTATCGCAACAGTTTTTGCTCTCTTCGGTATTTTACATTTTTCTCCAAATTGTACAAGTTGAACTACCTTATGGACATCCTTGGCCTCATAAATATAAAACTTTTACTAATATTAAAATCAAATCGCTCGAGCTCAGTAATAAGCATAATATGTCCATTTACGTATTCGTGTGTGCGTTTTTTTTCATTTTGGGTGTTCCAATATCGGCGCAACTCTTATATTACAGCAATAAGGTTAGGGTTAATCGCCTGTTAAGTTATATATATATATATATATATATATATATATATATATATATATTTCGTTTGATGTCTTCTCATGACTATGGATAGTTAATTTTCTTATTTTCTCTATCGCATTTTCCCTTTTATTTGGTACATTTTTGCATAGTTTATATGAAAATTAGAATCTTCGTTTCCTTCCCATCTATTGGCTTCACTTTCTCTAGCTATACATATTAGTTATATTCGTAAATGAGAGGGGGGGGGGAATTATGGTATACTTGTATATTTTTGACTAGCATTTGCATTATTTGCAACACATAATTAAAACTAGTTTCATTCAGTTTATCCTGAATAATTAAAATTTTATATAATGCCTAATCAATTTGTACAATCGAATCGTTTTCGATATTTTACATTTAATTATACATGCTTTATATTATATATTTAATTCAATTTATCGTGGCTTGAATTAAATGTTAATTCTTTGGACTATAGAAAACTGTATTTTTATATTATAAAAATGCCTACTTTATTTACTCTACACCTTCACTTACAAAAGACTTAATTTACTACACCAAGTCTATCTTTTTTTCTTGTTTTTTTTTTGGGGGGGGGGAGGGGGGTGCCTTTAATCTGTTCACTCTCTCTCTCTCTCACTCTCTTTTTATTTTTTTTAGTTTTTATCATTTAAGCAAATACAACAAAGTACACATACGATTAGGAAAAATTGACGAATAAGTGTTGATTATTTAAATTCTCATTTTATATAAATGTAAACTAAACGGAGACAATAGAAATTAAAATGCCGAGAGTGCTTTGATAAAGTATAATGTATTTTTATTACAAAAACAAATATTTAATCATACAATTTGACACTTTTAACGGAATTTCAATGCCCTCGATTGAAATATATTGTAATTAATTGTTTGATTAATTGCGATAAAAGCTGGCAAAGAAACACGGCATTGGGTCAGTTATCTTTTTTTATATTTCGGAGATACGCATTTTTACCACAAACCACGATAAGTCATAGCTTTATTTCATAAATATAAAGAATATCAAATTTTTATTTGAAATTCCATGATTATCAATATTATAATCATTTTATTAAAGTGACTTTATTATAAGGAGGAATGCTTTTGTATGAAAAAACCGCGTGGTCGCTTCATTACAACTTTACTTTACTACTTTATTCATCTCTTTTGTATACGTGAAAAATGAGGATAAAAACTATGAACCGCCGGATTCACGTAAAAAATCGTCGAATCGAAAAAAGGACAATAAAACAGATTATATACGTGAAAAAGCCATTAATTTTCCATGAAATCCAAACATTTTCCTCGTGCAGAATCCATTATTTCGCCTGCGCTCAGTAGTATTTGGATCCATCGCGTAAAAACGGTGGGTGTGCGAGCTGCCGAGGAGGGGAGAGAAGAGAAGAGAAGAGTAGAAAGGAGAGGAAAGGAGATGAGAAGAGTGGAGAGGAGAGGAGAGGAGAGGAGAGGAGAGGAGAGGAGAGGAGAGGAGAGGAGAGGAGAGGAGAGGAGAGGAGCGGAGAGGAGAGGAGAGGAGAGGACAGGAGAGGACAGGAGAGGAGAGGAGAGGAGTGGAGTGGAGTGGAGGAATGGAGAGGAGTGGTGGAGAGGAAAGGAGAGGAGTGGAGTGAAGAGAGGGGGGTAGAGGTCAAAGTACACGATACACGAGAATCAATTTCGTTTTCACTCCAATTCACTCAACCAGGAAATATAATAGCAAGTCACAAGGAACCATCGACTGCTCGTTGCGTAGTAAAAAAGATCGTACGACGGCACGAAGGCGAGATCCCGTGTCGTTGAAATTAAAGAGGTAGAGGTAGAGAGAGAGAGAGAGAGAGAGAGAGAGAGAGAGAGAGAGAGAGAGAGAGAGAGAGAGAGAGAGGGGTAAAAGAAATTGTCAGAAAACGGTCTACCAGCATACACCATAAGTGAGAATTGAGGTGGCGTGAGAGCGTGTGGGTCAGCGCGGGTGGGAGGAGGAGAAGGAGGGGCAGGCGTTCGTGGATGATCGTCTCGTGCATGAGATAATCACGAGTCACGAGAATCCTCTCCTTTTCGCCGGTGAGCTAGCAACATGGCCGCCATTTGGCAGAGGCAAGCGGGCGCTGACTCCATCTCTTTCTCTCTCTCGATCTCGCCCCCGCCATGGCCGCCGCCCCTCGCCGCATTCCCTTCTTTACCACCTCTTCCACCACCCCCTCACTGTCCTCGTCCTTTGCAGTCACTCATAGCCGCCGCCGCCACCACCACCACCACCCCCCCGACCGAACCACTAAACCCGTACCCACTCATACCGCGGAATTTTTAAATCTCTCATTCTCTCTCTCTCTCGTTCTCACCCACTCTCTATCACCGTCTTCTAGCTCTCTCTTCTCCCTGGCCGATACTTTATGTCGCCCGCTATTATTCGGCTCCTTAAGAACGCGCGGGCCCACGTACATATATGCCTAGGTTTTCGCGCTCGAGCGCGATAGCGTGCGTCATTCGTCGTTATTCCTCCCGCGACTTATTACCTCCGCACGCACACGCGCGCGCGGTCGCCCCCTCGGCGCTTGCGCCCGCCCCGCTCACGACGCGCACATCCTGCTCCTCCCGGCCCCGTCCTCCTTCAGCCCCCGGTTTCGCGCGCGCGTTTTACGCTACGCGCTCCATACCTTCCTCGACGTTTTGCGAAGGTGAACGTGAGACCGGAGAAAAAAAGAAGCCGACTGCCCTACTCTCGCCCAACGTGTGCGCCGCGCACGAACGCACACGCATGCAAAGCCCGACAAGGCGAGGCGACAGAAAGGCGGCGGCGCGCATCAATGTGGCGCGATGCCGCGATGCGATACTTCCTCCCTCCTATCTATCGGTTCGCCTACATGGCGCGGACCATCCGAATATCTCCGGGGTTCCTCTGCTGTGACGTCACATGCAGCGGGCTAATTATCACCATTGGCCATGATTGGATGGGCAGGGGCAGGGTCAGGGGCCGGCAAGATTGCAGGAATCGAACGTTTCTAACCTCGACGTCGTCGGCGAATGTATTGCGACGTGGGAGGGGGAGTGAGGAGCAGAAAGCTATTTTCGCCGGCAACTCGGCGGCGATTCCCCTCGTTGGGTTTTCTTCCTTGGCTCCACCGGGCGACGTCGCCGCGCAATTTCCCCGTGAATTAATGTCCGGCTCGATTAATCGCACGGGCGGACTGGGCGATGCGAGAGGGAAATTAAGACTGCGACCCGTGTATCCCCGAAGCCGAAAATTAACCGGTGAAGAGCGGGCGGCGGACGGACGTGGTGAAAGCCCTCGGAAGAAAAAGGCGCGCATCTCAGCGAGCCCTTGGCAGCCCCATGGCACACCGCGTGCCTACGTTACATTGGGGTATCGTCGGCGACAGCGGAAGGAGGATGAATTAACGAAGAGGGGTAGTGGTGGATGATGGTGATGGTGATGAAGAAAAAGAAGGAGGAGGAGGAGGATGGGGGCCGCGGGGAGGACCGAACGATACGAGCGAGTCGGGCCACACGGCTTTGAAAAATCTTGACGTGAAATGTAGGAGAGAGAGAGTGACACTAACCTTATAACGAGTAGCGCTGCAGCCTTAGCAAATTTCGGCGTTCGTCGCAAGCACTTTTTTTTCGTTCGTTCTTCTTTTCAAAAAGTCAGCTCCTCCGGCGACGGCACTGACGTACGTCTCGCTCACGGCTTCTTTCTCTCTCGTCGCGGAAGCGCTCACACGAGGAGGGATCGCACACCAATTTACGATTTATATGTTACTACAGTTCATACGACTACGGCGACGACGAGGACGACGACGTTCCTCTCGGTCAGCGCACACACGATCGCACAACTGCCGACAGGGAGGGGGGAGCAACAGCGACGATGGATACGATACGGTGTACAAGCGTGCCTCCTTCGCTATCTCTTTCTCTCTCCTGCTCTCGAGTGCGTGCGCATGTACGTGCGCTTTTATGATTGTGTGCTTCTACTAGTTCCCCCCTCTCTCTCTCTCTCGCGCGCTCGCTCTCACTCTCTCTCTCACTCTCTCACTCTCTCTCTCTCTCTCTCTCTTTCTCTATGCGGTAAGTAGCGTATGGGTGTGCGCGCGCGCGGCCTCGTCGCTGGTTCCTAGTTACTGCCAAGTTGCGCCAACGTGCGGAAATCTGAATCTACCATGACACCGGATACGTCGCCATTTGCTTCTCGATCGATGCGCCCCTACTGCGTAATTCATACTCGCCGCTCACTTTTCCATTCCTTCCACGTACGATAACGCACAATTCCCATTTTACGCTCATTTTCGCGCCATTGTTATTGATTGGGAGTGTTGCCATTAAATATCAGGTATGCTTATAAAGAGCGAGCCCCGGTACATCCAGTGCTATAGATTTATTTTTCATTTACGATGTTCAGTGACTCAGGACGTATTAACGGTTGGCACGACTGATTTCTCCCCTTACACGTGCATCTGCGCGTGTTCCGACCTAACCTACGTCCCCTTGCTTTTTCAGAGCGAGAACGCGTAAGGACTCGTCGATCGCCCATAGAAATGACACGCAATCGATTAAATATGACGATTAATCATATTGAAGTACCTTTTATGATATGCTTCATTGTTAAAATAATCGTTTCGGCTTAATGCACAGTGTGTGTGGCTAATAAGTGTCAATTTGACTTAGCTAGCGCCATCTGTCGAATTACATAATAATAAGAATGACTGGAGGTTCTACGGTAAATTTAAATTCAACCGCACAATTGTGATTGCCGCGCTCATGCTTCGCGAGTCTTATAAAACCATGGATATCATTCAATGAAAATAAAGTAATTGATTTGAGAGATGTGCGCATACTTGTGTAAATTAAATTAATCATCTGACGAATGTTTAGTACGATTACAACTCGTTAGAAATATGACGATACGACTAATAGTTGCACGTGATAATATTCAACAAATTAACTTCCAACTATTCCAATAGTTATTCAAACATCTCAGCTTAATTAATAATACTTTGTAACAATGGTATTTTTTTAGTGAATTATCTTTATTTAATCATATTTTATGATTTAGTTGATTATGATTAATATACATATTTATCATGGCAAAGTTGTTTTAAGGCATTTTTCAATTTTACTTTCAATTAATCATCAATTACATGATTGAACTTCCGCCTGGTGAAACGCATGGCTATTGTAATCGTAATTTAATGTAAACAATGCTTATTCTTGAAAAATATATAATGCCGAGCTATTAAAGACCCATAATGCATTTTGCGTAAATAATTGATTCATTGTTTGATTGATTTGCGTAATAAATAAAAATTGTGAATGCTTCGTTTGTATGAATTTCATTGACGGGTCAAGATTTTAAAAATTGAATTCCTAATTCAAACGATACGAACATATAAAATGGCCGTATAATATTAATGGCATTCTTATACAAATGCATGATAACAATTTTATAGATTAGATAAAATTAATTAAATGTACGTTTACGTATATGTCGAATAGAAAATTAAGATAGAATTGGAAATTCGTATAGATCAAATTGTATACGTAAATTTTACAAATATCACAAACTTATAAACGTAAATTGAAATTTTCTTTGACGAAATATCGTCGTATTAAATTTTTATCACCTTTACAAAATACTATTTTCATTACAATCCAAATAAAGATTCTTCAACTCAATATACATAAATCGGCTATCTGATTATTATTTTATTTTTCAACGTGAGAATAATTCTTTTATTACATTTAATATTTGATAATAAAGGATCCGCGAACTTATCTCGATTACTATACATATATTTGGTTTTATTTATTTCTTATGTATGCATGCATGGATAACAACTCGTTAACATTAAAAATTCAAAATATTTTCCTAACGATACAGTAAAAATATACAAAGTTTGTATTCGCATTGAGTCATGATTCGAAGCATGAACTAACTCTTGCAAAATATGCATAATCAATGCGACAAGTAGTTTGTTGACTCACTATTGAAAAGTTAAGAAACTACTTATTGCACCGTAAATTCGTGTGAACTTATACTTCTACGACTGTACATAAATTGCACATAGATTGCTTATTTAATAGTAATAAAAAATATTAAGTGATTTGTTAAAATATAAAAATTAATTTGATGCGATAATCGCGATGCTATGTACAAAATTGACTAATCATGAATAAATATGCTATGATTATCTTGTTAATGATTTCTCGCTTCAAAGGCTATTTTCCAAACATCAAAAATGAAATCCTCAGGGAAATTATAAGAATCTGGCATCGAACTATCGATTGCTTTGGCAACGTCCATACTATTTATTTTATTTTGAGCAATTTCCCATAGTCGCCTAGCTGCAACATGAAAATTCGAATTTAGAGAAAAACAAGATAAGGAAGGAAAATATATTATAATAAAGTAATGGCCTCTCATTACCCAGCACAACGTCGCTAATTCCCATGTAAATATCCAATGCATTATTGATTTTCTCGATTTTTTCTCTTGACTTATCATCTTCGTTCTGTAAAAAATAAAACAATTTAAAAAAAAGCATTAGTTTTTCTTTTGTTTTTTTTTCTGTTTCTGTTTCTGTTTTTTTTTTTTTTTTTTTTAAAGAAATTATTGTTACGTCGCTTAATATCGTAATATTTTTTGTTCACTTAAAGAAATAATTGAATTTTTCGTTAATTATCACACTGTAAATGCAGTTGATTATTAAAATTAAGAAACTATAGCAATTATGGGCAATTATTAGAATTATAACAAATTAACATTTATTTAAGTAAACGGCAGGTGTAAAATTGTCGGTAGAGTTTATAATTTCCTAGCAACTTGTTTTGTACAATTTATTATTCCTCTACAGAAATGCTTCATACTGTATTAAATATTTTCTAACTTAATCTAAGACCATAGTGCATTTTAATACAGATTAAAAGAAAAAAAAGGAATAATTATACACTTACAGAAACGAATTACGTAGATATTTTCTTATACTAAATTACACGTACCCGTCACACACGTGTAACATTTATTTTTACTACTTCCGTGCATATTGCCAAGTCAAATGCTGTTGATACACGAAGCGCTAATCGTTTCGACTTTATTAATCTAACGATTTTATCACAAATTATTTATTATAATACGTAATTAATAACTACATTGAGAAATCTTACAGTATTCAATAAAAATTGTTCTTTAAGAATGTGATTTTGTCAATTAGTCGACCTGCGATAATCGAGTACGTGAAAACAAAATCAAATTTTTTATTAAAAGCTATATTTCGTTACACAACATGAACGAAAAATCTAATTACTAAAAAAATTTAATTACATCTTAATGCATCATTAATTTAAATGATAATAAGCACGATAATTAAGATTAAATTATTGTTGAATAATGTTCAAAGTACCGACGAATGTGCAGCTCACATTATCAAACGCTCGAATATTATTGTTGGTTAAAATAATAATATTATTTTTAAGACTCCTATATAAGGATAAATATTCCTCAGAATGACGAATATACGGATTTATTGCCCCAACGTACTGACCACTTGCTCGATCTTCGCCATGCCGTCGGCCTTAAATCTCAGTGTCTCTCGGCCGTTGCCGTAGCTGCAGAATTTGCCTCTGCTTCGGGGCCCGGCACATCTGGGCCCGATAATCCCGAAGCCACTTCTACTGAGAGGCTCGACGAGCCGCAGCACTAAGGTCGCACCTCGCGTGATCTCCTTCAACATCCTTGCCACCTCGTAGTGCCGTTTACCAACCAGACTTATGCCGTTCAACTTCTCGATGTGGTCGCCGATCTGCACGACTCTCAATCGGTCCATTATCGAATTTTCTTTAATGCGCTTGATAAAGACGTAACCCGCTCCATTGTCCGTCAATGTTAGTCCCAATGCGTCCTCGGTCTTTATCAACTCAATTTCCTTTGCTCGCCCTACGAATACGTACGTTATTATTCATTTATTGTTCATTGAGCTAGGGATTGTTTAATAGCTTTAAGCGTTAATTAAGTTGCTTTGATCGGGCAAATGTTCGTTTAACCCCCATAAGCAGCTATCGTTGTGCGGTAAATTGAAAACTTTGTTGAAATTTAAAATACAAAATAAAACGGTAATTTTATTGGAAAATGTTAACATGTCGGAGATTGGAGCGAAAAATCAAGCCTTTCTAATCAGTGTATGAGAAAGGACGCGATGTGAGCTTAATTAAAATAATTAGCTCGTTTCTAGCCTTCTGTTGGTTTACTACTGCCTTTTCATAATTAACTGCCAATAATAGAAAGCACACTTTCGTTTACACAATATTATAATTAATTTGCTTTGTATGATAAATCTATAATAATTTGATAAAATAATGAATTCTAATATAAAATTACTTTGTAAAGATTTAGTTGGATTTAAATTACGTATAGTTTGCAATAAATCTCTCCGATCGAATTAACATATTAATTAGTTATCATTAGAACTATATGTAGGCATCATCACGAATCTTTTACCGTTCGCATATTAAAAACAGTAAATTCATACCACATAATAAGATCCAGTGATTTTTAACTTTTTAACTGCAATAATGCAATTAATCATGTATCTACATCGTTAAAATTTAAGAAATTGTTAAGTACTTGAGACTAATTTTGTACAACTTGGTAACTAGCGTGAATTTGCATATCCTTTATAAATTTTCAAGTATAAAAAGAAGAAAATTTAATAGAAATTGAATTATATATATATAACTAATATGATACTTAAAATCAAAGATTTTATTATTTATGATTAAAATAAGCTATTTAAATACTACTAATAATCATTCAATTTCAAAATCCATGCTCATAGATCAGGCAAAATTAATAGTATAAATGAACTCGATATAAAAATAATTAGATGAAATAGAATGAGATTAAAAAAAAAATAATAATATTTAATTAAACGAGATTAAAAATATGATATTCGACAAGTACATTCGACTAATTCTGTATTGCTTAATAAAAGAGTAATAAAAGAGATTTTTTTATATATATATATATATATATATATATATATATATATATATATATATGAGTTTTAAATAAAAAAAAAAAATTATTAAAACTATAAAAATAAAAATGTTATTTTAAATTCATGTTATGCTTAATCGATATATTCAATTCTTTATTTAATTAATTATTGACTTACTAATCAATTAATAATAGAATAATTTTTTAATTTAATGCACAAATTTGATTTCATTATACGGAATTTATTATTACAATATACAAAATTTAATGCTCTTAAAAAAGCTTATCTTAATATCTGTAAAAGACAACTTATCATTCACTGTCCTCAAAATGTTAATAACTTTTGTAATAAATAAATCGAGACTTTCTGATATATAGATTTGTCGTTCTTGTAAAATCTACATAGCAAGCATAAATGAGTAGTAGCGCTGATTTCAAGACCTATTTTTTAGAATAATAAATCATAAAATTAAATTGAAAATATGATTTTTCTTCATTCATTTGTATATTGCAAATAATAGTAAGCAATGACAATTATTTATCTAAAAATGAAATCTCATTTATTGAACAAGAATTAATGCTTCTTAGAGTAAGATTTATATTAAAATGAATTTATAGGATTTAATGCAAGAGTCGTATTTTTTCATTTTATTCAATTGCTCGCTGAGAATTGATAAACAAAGCTAAAACATACACATTCTTTATGTTTTAATAATTTAATGGTTGGTAATGTAAGAAAAATTTTGCAAATAAAATGGAATAATATTGATATTTATTTGCGTAATCTCAAGCAGAATATCCAATTGCCATTTAACATAAAATAAGCCGTATATTTTACAATTATCTTATCACTTTTACATGAAGTATTTAAGATATTGAGCGTATTCGATATCAAAAGGGCATACACATGGCAATTAATAAGAACATTTTAATGTCTCCTTTACATGTATTGTTATATCTCCAGTAATTTATTGTTCAGAACTTTTTTTAAAGATACTATGTTCACAAAGCCATATGCATGAATTTAACCGGACATAAAACGACATGCCTTTCATAAAATAGAAGCAATGAATATTATGTGAGTCTGCGAGAGGAATAATTGTCCGTTGTTACTCGTCAGTAGAATTCTTCTTGAAATACTTAAAAGTAATGATACGCAAGTAAAAAGTTACGAGGTTTCTTTCACATCGAGTGAATGACGATATTTATAAAATGTTGAATAGTAATAAAATGTAGAAGAATAAAGCTTGAAAATTCAGATGAAAAATGTAGTTGTGTTTTATAAATATTCTTACATTCATGCATAAAACGTTTTGTGTATTTTGTTAGGTTTATATTGTTTTTCAATAAATGTTAGCCTATGCTTTAAAAATATAATATAGATTTGCGTAAGCGATAAACTTCGATTTAATTTAATAATTCAGCTGAACATTTCGACAAAATTTGATTGAAATAACAAATTCGTTTCTAGATATTTAGATTTTATGTTGGAAAAATTTGTTAATAGTAGGCAGCTAAGAGTGAACAAATTATCTTTTAAGCGTGAAAAATACTCTCTGAGTTGTTAATATAATATTGCAATGTACATACATACTTCTTTCCTATTGTCTTTGAAAATTTCGCGGCTTATTTCACGTACTTTTATGACCAAATATCTTCAACAGCTAATTTAATTCACAAAAGGCATAATGAATCTTACTTTAGAACTATATTCTCTTGTCTTTGTGTGTGAGAAAAATATATACATAACTGGGAGTAAAGTAATTTTTATACGATGTCAATACAACGATTATTCAAACAATGCGATACAATAAAAATTATTCGCCGTAACAATATAATAGTCGAATAATTTATAATTATTCGTTCTTCGAGGATTTCCATTAGCAGAATTTAATAAAAAACTGATTATAATTTTTAGTTTAAAAATAATACTACTACCTCGAGTCCTTTTCCTACGTTATATTTCATATAATTTTATTGATTGAGTGATCGGTGAGTGGATGTAAAAAAAATAAACAAATAAAAAAATATTAAATTCAAAGCAATTAAATCGAAGAGAAAAAAAAACAATAATAAAAGTTGTAAAATGAAGTGAAACTAACCTTTTTTGTGCGCAAATATAAAGTCATCCAAACCAATTTGTCCACCCACCAACTCAGACATTTCTATCTTGTGAGTATTTAATGTGCAAAAAAGAATCTGCAAGAGAATGATAAATATAATTTATAAGTATAAATAGATTTCGGATTCGTTGTAAATGAGAATAGATGGAAGTATTTCGTGCAATTATTGTCTTTAATAATCGTAATATTTTGTTGCTTGTAGATTAAGGAGAATCGTGTGTAGAAATTTTTTACCTTAGAAAAAATTTATAAAGTATGGAATGATATTTTATTTAAAATAATTTTTTTCTTTTCTTTTTTTTTTTTGTTTATTTACATTCCATATCTTTAAATCACATATGCAACGTTTTTCTTTATTTTCTACAAAGTACTTTTCTACTTACTTGTATTATTAGTCATTTTGCAATTAGCAACGAAAAATGTTTCTTTCTATGCGCAACTACGGGGAGAAGCAATATTAAATTTTTTGTTAATTTAATTTTGTCTAATTTTTTGGCAAATCTAACCGTAGACACCGTATCGCAAAACAGCAATTAAATTATCCGTTCCATGCACATTTCTTGAACGGGGAAAACACTTTTGCCATATATTTACTACAGCACAGCCACGCGTCCCTTCACCAAATACGCAATTTTATCGCACTTTTCTCAATGGATTACCAACAACGCAATCTACGAAGTAGAGGAAGAGTCTTAATAACAAGTGTGCAGAGCCCTTTTGCCTTGATATTTCCAACACGAATTTAACAAATTTGCCTTGTTCCCCCAAGGACGCATTATTCGCATATTCGAGAATGAACATCGAAATTCCACATAGAAGTTGCCACTTTGCATTTGAAAATAAACACCGCCACTTACCAACAAATTTCCCAAAGAACAATTAAGCCGATACCTTTTTGTAATCTGTTGAAAACGCACCCGTAACTGTACAACAAGAGGTCAAATTGCGCTCTGCAGCCTGTGACCGAATTGTTTCCTGCATCCGGTGAATTCATACCCTTGCACCCAAGTGCACTTGCTGCTAGCAAGCGTTAAATTCTAATACTTGGCGTTTAAAGCAGTTTACTCGCACGTAATTTGCGTTCGGCGGAATTGGCCTCGTGACGAGAAAGTGTATATTTTCTGCTCCAACGATACAAGGATTCCGAGCTACTTTGATTATAATTCATGAGTATTATTATGCCTTGTAAAAGAAAGAAAAAATGAAAAAAAAAAGAAAAAAATTTTTTAAAAAAATGTCATTTTTGCTTTAAAAGGAGAGGGAATAGTGAAAATGAAGCGTTGATGGAAGCGAATAGAGTGTAACGGCGATAAAATGGCATTGTCGATAAATCTAAATATTTCCAATACATTCGATTAATAATCGTTACCTCATCTATATGAATATCTTATAATTAGCGCAATCAATATAATATCTTGGTACGAGTGTATATTGATATTAGAAAACAAAAAAATTCACTTTCAAATAGAGTATTTTTAACGGTAAGTAGGTTTTCGAGTGCATAGAAGAAAAAAAACGAAGAAAAAAAAAACAAGCAAGTCTATAATATATGTAAGGCTCGTTTCCGTTAGTACATGAAAATATCAATAAAATCAAATAAATGATAGGCAAATAAATTAATAACAAGTCCCTATATCGTATCTCAGTTAATAGTTTCAAAGTATTTAAAAAAAAAAAAAAGAAAAAAAAAATACCAAAAGAATTAAAAAATGATTGTACTCTTTAAAGAAGTGCTATTCTCAATTATTCAAACACCTTCGATAACCTCGTGAAATTCTCCAACAAAGATAATTTTGCGATTTCTAAGTTGATTAATTAGATAAATGTTATTACTAAATTCCTCGAATGTCTTAAAATGTGAATCGGTCTATTTAAGTCTTGGAATGCATAAGTATTAGTCACAAGTGGCTTGATTTGACAAACAAGACGGCCCAGAGGACTTTCTAGTTAAAAAATATGACTTGGTAGCTTTCGCCATTCGTTGTCGTGAAACAAAATAACAGATATAAATGGCTTGTCTTCTAAGTTATCCCTAGGATTCGCAAACGATTGGAAATTGCTTGCCGAGTGACTTGGAGTTGCTAAACGAGCTCTTGTTGTGCCTAGGAGGGATTTTCTCTCAAAACCGATTCGATTTCCGGTCTTTCTATTTTTTTTTCTTTTTTTTTTCAATCTATCACTTTCCATGTCATTCTTCTTCCTCTAGATACTTGAATTTTAAAAACTACCTTTCACGTACTTTTACAAGAAAAATATTTCGTACGTTTCAAGTATCTCTCTCTCTCTCTCTCTCTCTCTCTTTCTGCCGAACGAGCAAAAATAAAAATAAACTGCAATGTCTGATACGCAGTTTAGGGAGAGGCAAAGCGCTTATCACTACTGCATTTTTGTATGCTACTAATATATATTTTTAAATATAGTATTAAAAAATTTCATTTTTATATTTCCTTTGATTATGTTATGATTGTTGTATTATCAATCACTCCATGCCGAAGCTATCCGTTTCGTTTTATAGAGATACATTAATCATTACTTGTTTTTAAATTACAAATGTTGAAATATAAAATTGAGATACATTTGATTTACAACTTCCATAGTAATAATATATTAATAACTTTTTAATTCAACAATTATTATCTAAATTTTCATTAAAAATTTTATTTTGTAAATGTCAAAATTATAAAATGATTTTTTCAAAATTTATGAAATATACCATTAACCAAAATATAACGAATATTCGTAAACGTATTATATGAAGAAATTCTATAAACAATCAAAACCAATAGATTTGTCATTCGATCAACAGTTTATTAATAACATTTCTTACCATTGACTCACAGATTGAACTATAAAGCATTTGAATATTCAAAAATCATCGAATAAAAATTAATGATGCACAATTATCATTATTAGTCGAATTAAACACGATTATATCACTAGTTTTCAAGGTTTCTCTATATTACTTTAGTCAATTATTTTTACTCCGAAACTGGAATCATGTGCCAATGTTTTCTAGCGTAAGCATTCTCTTATCAGTATAGATTAGTATGAACCAGCAGCAGTTAACGTTACAACTAACTAAGCAAATAGTTGAATACTTATTTTCTTTCAGTTAATTCGCCAGAGTCAATTCTTAAAAAATTACAATTATTATTTGTAATTGACGTGTTAATTGTATTTAGTTAAGTCGTCTACATCGCTCATCACACATTGACTAATTAATTTTATTAAAAAAATATGTTATCGTTTTAAAGGCTCGGTAATTAGTAACTTGATGTAATAATTGATATTAATTGTTGAGTGAATGAAATTCTGATTACGGAATTGCATTTATTTGCTGAATACGAAATGCGATATCAAGCAACGTTAAGCAAATTAACAATCTACTTTTACCGTGATAAATTTATTCATGTAAATACATTATCATATAAAGAAAGTATTTTTTTTCCTCCCCCCAAAGACAATAATTTTAAATATTATCGATATTAGCTTGAAATAATCGTTCGAAATTGAATAAAACAATTTAATTTATAATTTGTTAATTATCTAATTATGAATATGTGGAACGGATGTGACATTGATACAGGCACATGTTATCACAATACTTTATGTTGTCGAATAATGAATTATCACACTAAGGATAACTTACAACCTTACGTGTATTTAAATGAAATAAATTCAATATAGTTGTCCTTTCAAGAGAAGAATAAAAAAATTAAAAAAAAAAAAAAAAAAAAAAAAAAAAATTAAAAGTACTAATTTTAATTTATGATCGACGATTTAGTGTGAAAGCTGTAAGTGATAAAAATTATCAAAAGTCGCAAGGATATAAAGTAGATATGAATCGTCATATAAGAAAATAACTTATACAGCAACATAAAAGGAAAATTTACTGCGTGAATAAAATTCATGCGCAATTTAACAAAACATAACAATAGCGGTAGTTCGCAAAGAATTTCTACTCTACATGAAAGAAAATCTGTAGCCATAACTGCCGGGCTGTTGATAACACTAAGATTCAATGGCAACATTTGATTATTTCGGAAAGTATCGCAAGTAGGCTGTTTAATTCTAACCGAACATTATCAACAAAATAAATTGTTGCAATAGAAAATTTTCCGCTCCCTTCGACTTCAGTCACTTTATGCGAAAATACTTTGATGAAAAATTAACGTTCACGCGTGTTTGATAAAAACATTATTTTGTAAAGATGTTTTTCTTTTTTTTTTTTTTCGTTGCACGTATTTCGATCTTGAGCATTAAAATATTCACTTAGTGAAATTCAAAATTGTATTTAGGATAATTATTATTTGAGCAGGAATTTTAATTAAAAAGTAATAACAATGAGTTGAAACTATGAAGTATAGTAGTTGAAAAAGCAATATAGCAATGTAAGTTGACACATGGCAAACACTTCACGCTTTTTAAGCTCCCTGTGTCTGACTACTAGCCTATTTGGAATAAAATTAATATTTAATTATTTATAAATATTAATGGTGGTATTATTTATTAGGAAAAGAATTTGTCATTAAAAAGTGCGGATATTCCATGTGCATTAAATGTAATGGCTTTATTTATCTATTTGTATTTTCACTTATTGATACTTGAAATTTATGCTAAATATTATAGAGAGTCAGCATATAATAACAATAGCAATAAATATAACAATAAAAATAACAATAGCAACAACAACAACAACAACAACAATAACAATAATAATAACAACAATAATAATAATAATAATGGCCTATTAGATTTGTGCGCATATTGTTTATGTCGTTTGTTATTTATTACGAGACAATTGGATGTGAGTCGAATGGAAGCTTTCATTTGATGAGAGAAAATGTAAAAGCCATCGTATCACTTGTCTTTTAGACGAAAAGAAAAAAACAAAATACAAAAAATGCTTTAAGCCTGGCAATAACAAGCCTTTCTTTCTCGCGATTATAGGGGAAAAAATGCCAGCAGTAGCGATACTATTCGAAAGTAATTTCATGTGATAAATTGAATTTTACTGGCGCATTGCATTAAAGCAGCATGCCTGCCTGTACTTTACTTCTTTGGAGTGAAATTGGCGAACTTGTTAGAAAATCATGTCGACAGCTAAATGGAAGTAAATTTTTCTGATTTTTCCGCTTCGGAAAGGGAAAGATTAATAAATTGCTAATAGCCGTCGTCGGCTTTGCATATATATATGTTGTTAAAAAAAAAAAAAAATCTCTCTCGATGCCCTATAGGGTTAATCATCTTGTCAATTACTTGTATCAAATGAATGTCTATATTTTATTGCTGTTACGCGTTATGATTAAATTTCTCATATTCTTATCACACGCGTTTCCTAAAAATAAGTAAGCAAAGACCTGTTGATTCGAAACATGTACGGTAGCATGCTAGTAGAGCGTCACAAAGTAAGATAAATATCAAGTTATAATGCATGTCTGCGTATAATCCGATATGTGATAATAACAATGATGAGAGTGCTGTAAGTGCAAGATAAACGATCCTCTTCTCGGACTCGTCAAAGTACCTGAATAGCCCATGAAAAACCATGAAGCAATGTCTACAGTAAAACGTGCAGTTGAAATGTTTGAAAGAAAAGAAATGGCATATTATTCTAAATTTTCGAATATTTTCAAAGCAAATTCTAACATGAATTCTAGGAATGTAAGAGCTCGTGGCAATGCTCGCATGTGCGAGAGAAAGTGGCCTATTGGGTTAATATTTAAATTGAGCTTCGTAAGCTATTTCACGGTCAAGATTA